TGTGCGTGTGTGCCCAAGATCCCGAGAGGAGAATGGAGGAGAAGGGATTGTGGCATTACCATCCCCTCTGGGGGGGTGATTTCTCGCTTTCTGTCTCTATATCTCTCTCTGTCTGGCTGGCGTGTGCATGCGCCCTATAGCAGAAACCTCTCCAAAGAAAAGAAAAGAAATCATCCCCCTCCCCCCAAAAAGGTCATAATGTAATCATGATCATTGGAATTCATGACCAATGGACTTCCCTCCACTGGGAATTTTTGGCATGCACACATACGTGTTGTTTTTTTTTAATGATAATTTTATTATTATTTTTAAAAATTGATCAAAGAGAAAGAGAAAGGTAAAGTTAGAAAGCAATTCATTAGGTGTAGGATTTGAACCATGAACAGCCATGTGTGTGAGTCCAGCACCTTATCACCATTGCCACTTTTAGCCCCACCCAGTGTGTTTTATAAGCTACAGGTACAGAACTCAAGTTGCTGGCCTGGCCATATGCAATTTAGCACCTTATCTACTCCACTATCTGACCCCATATTGTACCCTTTATGAATAACCAAGATTAGCCTCCAATTAGTCCAAACTGGATTTTATTAGTTTGGATTTTATGAGAGTCTGAGTACAAATCACATTCTGGGAAACATACTGGAATTTTTCTGATAAGTGACAACCACTCCATTGCCTTTTTTCTTTTTTTAAAGAGTTTATCTCACATGAGCCCTGAGCTGATAACCACTCAAACCAAACTGAACCCCTACAGAAAAGTGAATATGTAAATAGAGATGTTAAAATAGAAGGATTACTTTATAGATATGGACTGTCCACTTCTACATTAAATGCAGTCCTAATTTTTAAACCCTGCCTTTAATCCAGCTTCATCCATTTCTGAGGAAAAGCCAACTGACAAACAGCATTGGGTACAACATGTCCCTGGATGACAAAAGAAATACGATACAGTATGATATCCACAACCTTGTGAGATTTCCTAATCACAGTTGGCTGTTTGTTAAAGTAGGAGACTTTATCTACAGGAATTCCCATGATCAAGGTTTGATCATCAGAGAAGAGATGATAAACTGGTCTGTTAATTTCAAAGAGGTACGATGTCGTTTCAATATGAAATACATTCAGAGGTGGAGTCAGCAGATTGCATAGTACTTATATCACTGGAATCCCACATGACTGATTGTGGTTTGAGTCCTGGACCTGGTGACTTGAAACCCATGCTGGATGTGTGTGCCATTCTCCTGGTGGGTGATTTCTCACTTTTCCTCTCAACATCTGTCTGTCTGTGACTTTCTGGTAAGTACACAAAAAAACAAAAGATCTAAATTTATATGAGTTATCTGAACAGAATATTTTTAAGTCTATTAATTTATTTAACTTTATTTATTATTATTATTTTCCAGTTTGATCAGAGAGAGACAGAGAAAGAGAGAGAGGGCAAGTGAGAAAGGAAGCCACCAGGTCCAGAACTTGAACCATGGTCAGCCATATGGGAATCCAGCACCTTTATCACCATGCCACCTGCCAGCCCCAAGAACAGAATCTTTAAATAAAATTGTATGACTACTTTAACTCAGCAATAAATTTGATTTTTACAGGGCCAGCAGGAGGCATCATTGTGAAGACACTGGACTCGACATGGCTGACTCTCATTTTAGTTTTGGATCCAGTGGCTTGAAAATCATGCCTGGCATGTGTATGTGTGTGTGAATGTCCAAATTTATAGAGTAGAATGAAGGAGAAGGGATTGTGTCATGGTTATCTCCCTGAGGTTTAATTTTCCACTTATTCTCTCTTTGTCTCTATCTCTCTCCTGTGAACATACATGACCTATGCAAATTCTAAAGAAAACAAATTGAACTCTTGTCTCAGTCAAAATTCAAATTGGCAAAACAAAGTTGGCCTTTTACATCCAGAATTGTACTATCTGATTTTGCTTATATGCATTCTAAACTATAGAAATACTTCCAGATTTTATAAGCTGATTTGGTTTCTTATATTTGTTCAAGCAATAGTTCAATTAATAAAATCAATGAGGTGTGATTATTTATACATAATTGAACATATTTTAATAAGATAAATATTTTTGAGAATGTATTTTTAATTTTTAAAATTATTTTTGAAAATTTTTTATCTATAGGCCACATGTACTCACTACAGAGACAGACAGAGACAGAGAGGGAGAAAGTGAGAAATCATGCCCCAGGGGAAATTGAAATACCATAATCTCTTCTCCTCCATTCTCCTTTTGGGATTTTGGGCAAACATATACATGCACCAGGCATGAATTTCAAGCCACTGGGTATGAGACTCGAACTTGGCTAAGCCATGTGGGAATGCACTGACATAACCATTGCACCATTTGCTGGTTCCCAAGAAATGCATTTTTATAAAATTCATTCTGTGAACATCATAGATTGCACTTACACAAACATAGATGATATTTTACACAGCACATGGAATATATGACCTATACTATTATGTTATTGGAGTAATAACATATAAGCAGTTTATTATTAACTGAAATGTCTTGTATTTATGTAGCACATGACATTTTTCATATATATGTATACATATATGTGTATAAACAATTTACATATCCTGAAATCCTTTATCATTTGTAAACAAAGTCCTTCTTAAAATTTTGTATACTGTAAAGACACATAGATTATAGGTCAAGATGCCATTTATGTACATGCCATTTATATTTCCTCTTGTCATTTTGTATACCATTCTTATTTTATTAAGAGTTATTTATATTATTTATTAATTATTATTTTTATTCTTAATTTTACCAAAGAGAGATAGAGAGAGAATATAAAAGGAAGCAACCATATCTGGGACTTGAACCATGGTCAGCCCAGTGAGAGTCCAGTCCTCTAACCCTTACACCACCTGCCAATCTTTTGCATACCATTACTCATTGTACTAAACATCTCAAAGCATTGACTATAATCTCAGGAAATTATATGAGACAGAAGATTTATACAAATATCATGTTTTGTACATTTATTGTGTTTATATATGAAAAACACCACTCAACTAGCCTCAGAAGCCAAGAAACAGAATAACCACACTCTCATGCTTTATATGTTGGCCCATGAGTTTTAAGCTAACTTTTTCTTGTTTACTTAATATTACAATATTAGATATTTTTAAATTCAGAATCTAATATTTTTTACCCAAGCATATATGAAGATATAGTATAAATATTATTGGGGGGAACACACCTTTTCAGAATCTTCACCATGTAAAACCCTGCATAGAAATGGTTTTAGATGAAGTATTGCATAAGAGGAGAAAATAACACCAGGGATATTTTTAGTAATGTATGAGATAAAGTAATAAGGAACCTTGGCAATATTTGATAAATAATACATAAAGGGGACCTGCAGTTGGTGAGGTGGTTAAAGCACTGGACTCC